TCCAGTTGCTTGAGATGTCCCATTAAGTTGTTAACTTCCTCTTTTTACATTCTCTTGAGGAAGGCTTGCAGTGCTATAAATTTCCCTCTTAGGACTGCCTTTGCAGTATCCCAGAGATTCTGATAATTTGCGTCTTCATTATTGTTTTGTTCCAAAAATTTGATAATTTCCTTCTTGATCTCATCTCTGACCCACCTATCATTCAGCATAAGGTTATTTAGCTTCCATGTTTTTGTATGAGTATGGAGATTCCTTTTGTTACTGAGTTCAACTTTTATTCCATGATGGTCCGAGAATATGCAAGGAATAATTTCCATTCTTTTAAATTTGCTGAGGTTAGACTTATGACCTAAGATGTGATCGATTTTGGATTATGTTCCATGTACTGTTGAGAAAAATGTGTATTCGGTTTTGTTAGGATGAAATGTTCTGTTGATGTCCATTAAATCGAAATACTGAATGATTAAGTTTAAATCTAAGATTTCTTTGCTAAGCTTCTTGTTGGAAGATCTATCCAACACTGCCAAAGGAGTATTAAAATCTCCAACTATGATGGAGCTGGGAGAAATCAAGTTGCTCTTGTCTATTAAAGTATCTCTTATAAATTAAGGTGCATTCAGGTTGGGTGCATAAATATTAATGATGGAAATCTCATCTTTTTGAGTATTTCTGTTAACAAATATAAAGTGTCTATCCTTGCTTACTTTTGTTGGTTTAAAGCCTATTGTATCTGTGAATAGAATTGCAACACCTGGTTTTTTCTGTTTTCCTGAAATATAGATAACAATCCCTTTACCTTGTGTCTGTATTTGTCTTTTAAGGTAAGATGGGATTCTTGTATGCAGCAGGTATCTGGCCTGAGTATTTGTATCCAGTCAGCCAAACTTTGCCTCTTTAGAGGGCAATTTAAGCCATTCACATTGGTTGAGAATATTGATAAGCCTGGTATAATTTTGGGTATCGAGTTTTTTGAAAGTCCAGTGGACATCTTTCATTCTTTCGCCACTGTGGAAATTGTAATTTGATCAAAATTTTCTATGTGAGATTGCTTATGTGGTGGAGGATTGTGCTGGTCATTATGGAAGATATGTCTGAGAATATCCTGGAGGGCTGGTTTAGTTATGGCAAATTTCTTCACCGTGTGAATGTCATTAAAGTATTTAACTTCTCCATCATAAATAAAACTCAGTTTAGCTGGATGCAGGATCCTGGGTTGAAAGTTATTTTTTTTTAGGAGATTAAAAGTTGATGACCACCCTCTTTCTAGCCTGAATGGTTTCAGCAGAGAGATCTGCTGTCATTCTAATATTCTTCCCCTTGTAGGTTATGGTTTTCTTACGTCTGGCTGCTTTCAGAATTTTGTCTTTCATAAGTTAATTATGATGTGCCTGGAGGATGTCTTATTTAGGTTAAGTCATGCTGGGGTTCTGAAAATGTCTGCTATCTGAATTTCAGAATCTCTTGGCATTTCAGGAAAGTTCTCTTTCATAATTTCATGAAGAAGAGCCTCTGTGCTTTGTGAAGCAACTTCCTTGCCTTCATGGATTTCTATAAGGCGAATATTAGTTTTCTTTGAATTATCCTAAAGCTCTCTGAGAGAATGTTTCATTTTTGCTCACCATTTCTCTTCCTCTTTGAGTGCTTGGGCATGTTCAAAAGCTTTATGTGTACAGAGATCCTTTCTTGTGCTTACTCTATTCTTTTACCGAGGGATTGTACGGTATTTTTCAGATCTTTGAGGGCTGCAAGCTCTTGCCTCAATGTGTCAAAATCTTTTCTGGTTTTGTCCTTGAATTCATTGAATTCTTGAGAGAACTTTTGATATGCTCCTTGAATTTCTAATTCCAACTTTGCTTCTATTCTATTAATCTTATTTGCAATCCAAATTCTGAATTCAATTTCTGACACCTCAGCCATCTGTTTATGAATGGGATCTTCAGTTGTGTCTGCCATATCCTTCATTGGGGCGGTTGATTTCCTCTGGTTATTCATGTTATTGGAGTTTTTCTTCTGATTTCGCCCCATGCTTATTTTACACCATTTGGCTAGCTGAGCAGATAAGTAGAAGTTGGGTTAGGGTCTCTAGGGGTAGTGATTAACTAGCCCTTTCCCCAAAGGCTGGGACTGGTGTCTGTACCTTTTCCCCTAGATCTTTGCCAAGGACCCGTACAGTGCTACAGCCTGATAAACTGGGGGCCTGCTTGGTGTGGTTGGGCTAAGTGGCTCAATCTTGTTTTCAGCTGGACTCTGTCCTACTCTAGTGAATCAGTTACTCTGGGTTTAAGTCTCAGCTGTGGAGAAATAGCATCAATTAATTCACCCCCCCCACACACACACACACACAGGCAACAATTACAAAAGGAAAATCAAACATTCCCACAACCATACACCCAGGGTACCACTTTGGATAGTCCTTGGGTGATTTGCCCAGTTGGAGAGGTCCTAATCAGTTGTCTCAGTCAGCACCAGTCTCAGGTGGGAGAGTTCAGAAGGTCTAAGGCAACTAGATAGCAGGGGTCTGCTGGCAGCTCAAGTATGACTTGCTCCGGTGCTCCGTGAGGTTAGAAGTACCCACCCAGCAAATAAATTAGACTAGGAAGTTTGATGCCTTCTTCACCACCTTGCACCTGTTTCATACCCAGTCCCTGATGATCGCATAGGACTGTGACCCAGTTCCCTCCAATGAGGAGTTGCTCCAGGGGTTTATTACTGCCTGAGTCACAGGGAGATCTATGTGTCCTGAGCCAGGCTGCCACTCTCTGCCACTATCCAGCAGGGGGAGGTGAGGCCTAACATCCTTATGTGCTTATTGGAGGCTGGGGTGGTTCACTCAGTTCCAGCCCCACCCCTGATTGATGTTGCTGGCAGAACAGGACAGAACAACTTCACAGAATTTGTCTCTGTCCTGGCTATATTCTCCTGCTGATCAGATATTTCTTGAGTGGACAGAAACCACAACTGAGCCCCTGACAGTGGCAAGCAGTTAGAGCTCACTCTTCACTGTCAGTTCTAGCCTCTGCCTGCCCACCTTTGTCTCAGCTATGATTCCCTGAGGGCTAGGTGTGTCTTAGGACAGCTTTACTGAGCCAGAAGACAGCTCCGTAAAGCTGTCTTCTGGCTCATCCCTGCCCTGGCAGTCTGTCTTCTCTATGTGTGCATATTCTAGTCCCATGCTCCACCCAGGTCGCTACCACCTCAGGCCTTCCCTTTACTCATGGGGCCAGTGCTTCACTTGTTTTTGGTCTACAGGCTGAGACACACATATTCCGTCACCAAGTATACTGTAAGACTACAGTTTCACCTTTGTACCCTCAGTTTTAGTTATTCTATGTGATATTTCTGTATATTATACATATTTGGCATTATTAATTCTGTGTGCGTATATGTATATATACACAAGTGTATATGATAAAGATTTATACGTCTGTTTATTGATTACCTATGCTGATAGATGGTTCAGTGAAAGCATGGTAGATTTATAAGATTTATGTCTAGATGTAATAGTTGTTTTCATTATTCCTTGCATAATTGGATAGATTTTTTGGTATGGTGACCCCAATTTTTTTTTTGTTTTTGCATATAGAACATTTTTCCTATTTGTCCTTTGATTAACTTTTCTGTCCATTCTGTTTTCTCCTTCTGGAACTCTTTCATTTTGATATTGGAGACCAGGAATTTTTCTTTTTTGCTCCTCATAGTTTTAATTTGTTTCTTATTATGTTCTGTACTATGTGAGAATTTTATCTTTCTTGACATAATTAGATTTTCAGCCTTATTTTTATTTATTGTTTCATTTTTAAAACTGAATTTATTTTTACATTGAATTTATTTTTGTATTCTTTAATTTTTCAATAATACTTTTCATATTTACCAATCATCCTCTTATACAATGGCTTTGTAATAGTTTCATGTATATATATTTTATCTTTGTAATTTTTTTTTTTTTTGGCCAGGGCTGGGTTTGAACCCATCACTTCTGGTATATGGCGCCAGCACCCTACTCCTTTGAGCCACAGGCACCACCCTACTCTATGAATTTTAAAACTTACTCAATGATTTCTACATTGAATTTCTTTTAGGTCCTTTTCCGTTTTTAATTTTTTTCTTCTCTTTAATAGGCTTGAATTTCCAAAGTCGAGATGTGGGAGTCTGTGGTCTACATCATGTTCCTTTCTAAGCAATTAGAAGCTGTCTAATCTTTACTGTGAACACAAAAAGATAGTAGCTAAGCATGTGTACTCAGTTTTAGCTTAAATGAGCAGGTGGGAAACTGAACAATGTCAGGGTTCCCTTCAGTGTGAGTGAGGGGCTTTTCCTCAGAGGGTAAGCCAGGATAGCATACTTTAATTCCGTGACTGATAGAAGGAACAATAAAGCTTCTTGTTTGGGAAGGCAAACTTTTCTGATTTTTCTTAATGTTATGGATTTCTCTCTATTTTTATATTTCTTGTGTCATTTCAGTGAGATTTTTAGATAGGCAAGGAAAACGTATATATTCTCAAATCCAGATTTTGTACTGACACTCAGTAAAACTAATTATAGTTTTATAAGAACCATACTTTCTTGAATGTTGTTAGTAATCATATGATTTTATTTTAAGATTCACTTAAACCTAGAATGTATAGAACTTGAGTTTGAGCAGCATAGTATACTGCTATGAACAGAGGCTTCAGGCCCAGGATACTTAGTTAGAATCTTAGTTTTATGGGCATTAGACATGTGGCCTAATCCCTTTCTCTCTCAATTTCTTCTGATGGTCATAAAAATAATACTAATATTAAATGATATTTAGAGATTTAAATGAGTTACTGTTTGTCAAGTACTTGTTGTAATGTTGGCTCTTAGTAACTGCTAGATAAGTGTTTGTTACATAAAAATAAATATAGGTTTATATGAAAACATGTACTAAGAATTTATCCCAAATAATGATTTCTCAAGTACTTGCCATATATACTTGAATTAAACATGTTTGTGTCTTTCTCTGCTTAATTTTTTTACAGCTTATCGTGAGCCTCATTATTTTTACCAGTTCACAGCTCGATATCATGCAGCTCCCTGCAATAGTATCTATAATATTTCTTTTGAGAAGAAACTTCTTCAGATTTTAAGCAAACTGGTTCTTGACCTATCATGTGAAATTTCCTTACTTAAGTCGGAATGCCATCGTGTTAAAATGCAGAGAGCTGGTTTACAAAATGAATTGTTCTTTACATTTTCAGGTAAGTATAAATGATTCTTTAATGAAAAACAAATGCTTCTTAAAAGGAGAACATATATTCATTTTAAAGATATGTTGTAAATTGTTAGCAGTATTTTTAGAGTATAAATACTATTAATCTGAATATATTTTATGATCTCTACTTTGACTTAGTACTAATATCCCTCAAAATAAAATTCTCCTGATTTATGTACCTAATGAAAAGTTTGTTCTCTCAAATAACTTATACTTTGGTATAATTTATTATAGAGTAGAATTTAGTATGAGGAATATTTATCCTGATATTTATAAACACAATGGTTTAACTTGTAAAAGCATCTCATTATAATTTTGATAGGTTAATATTATATACCAGAAGACTCATTCAGTTTAGTGTACTTTTCTTAATGAGGAAGAGTGGAGGCCCAGTATTTTCTAGAAGACAGAATGGAACAAAAGAACAAAATGGAATAGCTTAGGATTTTGAATTTATAAATGGTCTGCTCATGAATGAACACTTTGGAATTGCCTTCGATGTGTTTTTAAGCAGTCCCAGTGGCAATAGGATACTCTTCTCCCTCTCATCTCAAATGCTATTGCTTTCTATTTTCCTTTCTTCCTCTTCTTCTTCTTCTTTTTTTTGATAAGTGTTTGATTATACTTCCCCATTGTCTGGCTTTCCCTTCCTTTTTTTTTCCCCCTCTGGTCTTCTCAGCCTGAAGTTTTAGAAACATAATTGAAAGGCATTGAAAGCTTTAAGGGACAACTAGAGATATTTGACCTCATTTTCACTGTCTTTTCTCCTTTCTTCTTCAGATAAAACAGAAAGTTTTTCTCTACCCCCTGAAACACTTAGCAGAGATAGCACCCATCATTATCATTCACAGGAGTTACTCCATCTTTGTTTACTATCTAATAGGTGGACAAATCCTTAGAAAACCTGAAAGTGTACTTGAACTAATAAGAGGTGATAGCAAATAGAAATGAAGGATTGTGGGCGTGATTTGCACTTCCCTAAAGGCTTACATTGTTGAGCATCTTTTTGTATGCTTGCATTATTGGCTGTTTGTACATCATCTTTGGAGAAATGTTTATTCAAGTCCTTTCGCATTTTCAAATTGGGTTATATGTATTCTTGTTCTTGAGTTATAAGAATTCTTTATAAATTCTGGATTCTAGATCCTTATTAATATATGATATGCAAAAATATTCTTTCATCTTACAGGGTAACTTCTCTCTTCTTAATAATGTCCTTAGATGCACAATTGATTTCAATTTTGATGAAGTCTAATTTATCTATTTTTATTTTGTTTCCTATTATTTTGATGGTGTGTTTAAGTATTTATTGTCAAGTATTAGGTCATCAAGATTTACCTCTTTTATACTTTTATCTTTTTCATTTAGGTCCAAAATCTATCTTGAGGTAATTTTTGTGTGTAGTGTGGGTATGGCTCCGTCGTCATACTTCTGTGCATATGACATCTGACATTAAGTTTGACTGACTCTTCCTAGAAAAGGTGCTGCACACCTCACTGCTGAATATCACTATGGTCACCTTTAAAGTCCTCCCTTTGGAAAGCTATGCACTGAAGTCAGCACCTAGTCCACACTTCAAAGCAAATTTGGAACTCTTTTTTTCTGGAATTGCCATCAGAGCTGCCGTCATACTGCCCTTGATGTCCTGAATGTCATCAAAATGTCTTCTTTTTAATATTTCCTTTATCTTTTGGTAAAGAAAAAATTCACTGGGGCCAGCTCAAGTGAGCAGGGAGGCTGTGCCAATACACTTACTTGTTTACTGGATAAGGTCTCCCGCACAGACAGCGCCTATGAGTTTTTTTCTTTTGTACATCAGTGAGCTCCTCTGGGACCATTTTTTGCACATGCTTTCTCATGCCAAGATTGTCAATTAAAATTTTCCTTACTGTTTCTCTGTCAGTGTTACTTGATCAGCCAATGATTTTGATGTACAATTCAATGAATTTTTGTTGTGTTTTCATCAGTTCTGTTTGTTATTGGCCACCCTGACCTCTCTTCATCAGTAAAGCCTTCTCACCCCTCAGAAGAATATTTAATCCATCTGTGCATTGTAATTTTCTTCATGGCATTATCCCATAAACTTGGACTAAGATGTCTCTGATTTCATTTCCATTCTTGCCAAGTTCAGCAAGAAATTTTAAGTTTGTTTGTTGCTCTAATTCAAGCCCCGATATTCTTTCAGTGGCACATACAAACATGAACTCCACTCAGTAAGATACCACCAGCCATTGACATGAACATACTTGTCAGACAGTGATATACCAAAGTTATAAAAGCTTGCTGAGCTGTTCGTACACTGCTGTCAATGTAAGTGCATGGTAGCAGGTGACAGTTAAGCAACCTCTGTATCCAGCTTCCTAAGGACCATTTGTTGAAGGGTCTATTCTTTCAACACTGAATGTCTTAGCACCCTTTTTATAAGTCAGTAAGTTGTTAAGTATATGGATTTATCTCTGGACTATGAATTTTATTCCATTGTTGCATATTTTTATCCTCATAATTGGTACCACACAATTTTGATTACTTTAGCTTTATAGTACTGTGTGAAATCAGAAGTGAGAATCCTCCAATTTTGTTCTTCCCATTAAACATTGTATTGGTAATTTGAAGTGTGAAATTAAGTCATTAATTTGAGATTGTACTTCTTTTTTAATCATTAAGTCATTAATTTGAGATTGCACCTATAAATTTCTCTGTGAATATGCTTTAACTGAAATTCATAATTTTTGTTATATTTATTTTCATTTTCATTTGTCTCCTTGTGATATTTTTTTGCCTGTTGTTTAAGAAAAGTATGTTGTTTAATTTCCATATATTTATAAACATACTGATTTTCCTTCTGTTACTGATTTCTAGTTTCATTCTTTTGTGATCACAGAAATTTTATATGATATTAATCTTTTTGGAATTACTAAGATTTTTCATGGCCATACATATGATCTTTACTGAGGAATGTTCCATGTGCACTTGAGAAGTGTGGATGTCCTCTTGTTGGCTAGAGTGCTCTGTGTACATCTTATATCTAGTGTTGTGTATTTTATTTTCTTATTGATCTTCTGCCTCATTTTATATTCATTATTAAAAGTATGTTGGTATGTTTAACTTTTATTGAAAAACAAATTTTCCATTCAGTTCTATCAGCTTTTACTTAGTATATTTTGGACTCTGTTATTAGAGGCAGACATGGTTATAAATGTCTATCTTCTTTATAGATTTGTACTTTTATACAAATATAACGCAACTGTTCATTTCTTGCAAAAATTGTTGACTTAAAGTCTATTTTGTCTGATATTTGTATAGACCTGCTCACATTTCCTATGTCTTCTTGATTCAGTTTTGGTAGTTTGTGTGTTTCTAGCAGTTTGATTATATTTATTTTTTCTTTTTGTTTTTATTAAGTAATATACACATAGATCATGAATACATTTATGCATATGTGAGGTACAATGTGTTGTTTTTTTTTAATACAATCTGACATGTTTACATCAAACCAATCAACTTAGCTTTTGCCTCATTTACTTGATAATTGTGTTAAGACATTAATGTTTTACACTTCATAGATTTGACTTGTACCCTTGCAATATGCTCCATAGGTGTGGTCCCATCATTTACTCTCCCTCTGTCACACCTCCCTCCTCCCCTTACCTCTTTTATGTTTCCATGGGGGGACCTGGAACATATTCCCTGAGTAAAGTATCTCAAGAATGGAGGAAAAAGTATCCAATGTATTCAGTACTTCTATGAAACCAACTTATATTTTATTCACACTTTCTTATGAAAGATAGAGAGAATTGGAGTTTGATTATATTTCATCTAGGTCTCATGACTGCAGGAAATATCTTTTTTTCATACTTTAACCTCTTTTTCTTTTTTGCATTTATAGTGAATCTCTTATTCACTAAAGAATAAGATATCTTTTTGTTATCTTATAAATAACAAAAAGATCCTTTATTTTTATCTATTATGCTTACTTCTCCCAGTTCATTGGAGCCTTTAAATTAAGCCATTTATATTTAAAATTATTACTAATAAGGAAAGACTTACTTTTGTCTTTTTGCTATTTGTTTTCCGTATATCATATGTCTTTAATTAATAGACTTTCTTATTATAGCAGTTTTGGCTTTACAGAAAAATTGAGCTTCTTGTTCTCTCAAGTTGATCTCTTCATTTGTTCAGCAGTACTACACTATCTTGATTTCTGTGTTATATGGTAAGCCCTGAAGTTGGGTGATGTCAGTCCTTTGTTTTTGTTCCAATTCAATTCTTTTCATGTGGATATCCACTTTTCCCAACAAACTTTATTAAAGAAACGAACTTTTCCCTATTGTGTCTTCTTTGTACCCTTGTTGAAAATTAGTTGGCCATATATGCATGTGTTTATTTCTAGACTCTCTATTCTTTTCCATTGGCTTATGTGTCTGTTTTCATGCTACTACCCTATTTTGATTACTATAGCTTTGTAGTATAATTTGAATATAGAAAATCCCTATATTTGTGTGTAAAAAATCTTCACCAAATCTAAGGCCATGTAGATTTTCTCTGATATCGTCAGTTTTACAGATTTGCATTTTACATTGATGTCTCTGATTCATTTGGGGTTAATTTTGGTACAAGCTATAAGGTGTTTGTTTCAATTTATTTGCATGAGGATGTCCAGTTTTCCTAGCACCATTTTTGGAAATACTACCCGTTCTTCATTGAATTACCTTTTCTCTTTTGTGAATGATTAATTGCGTATATTAGTGTGTATCTGTTTCTGAGCCTTCTGTTCTTCTTCAGGGATCTCTTTATCTGTTCTTTCACCAGTAGACTACTGTCTTGATTACTGTTGTTGTATAGCAAGCCCTGAAGTTGGGTAATGTCAGTCCTCTGTTTTTGTTGCCATTAGTATTGTGTTGGCTCTTCTGGGTCCTTTGTTTCACCACACAAATTTTAGAATCAATTTGTAGATAAACAGAAAATTAGATTTTATATGGGATTCAA